GACTCATATCTAGCTTCTCATCCACTGTCCTTTTCTGCAGAACTACTACTTAACAGGTTGGTCCCCAGCTTGTAAGTATGCTTGGGATTCTTCCATCCCAAGTGCAGGATTCTACACTTGTCCTTGTTGAACCTCATCAGATTTCTTGTGGCCCAATCCTCCAATTTCTCTAAGTCACTTTGGACTCTATCCCTGCCCTCCAGCTCAGTGTCATCCGCAAACTTGCTGAGGGTGCAATCCATCCCTTCATCCAGGTCATTAATAAAGATGTTGAACAAAACCAGTCCCAGAACCAAACCTTGGGGCACTCCGCTAGAAACCGACCGCCATCCTGACATTGAGCCATTGATCACTATCCACTAGGCCCGGCCTTCCAGCCAGCTTTCTATCCATCTTACCGTCCATTTATCCAATCCACATTCCCTTAACTTGCTGGCAAGAATATTGTGGGAGACCGTATCAAAAGCCTTGCTAACGTCAAGGTATATCACATCCACTGACTTCCCCATATCCACAGAGCCAGTTACCTCATCATAGAAGCTAATCAGATTGGTCAGGCACGACTTGCCCTTCATGAATCCATGCTGACTATTCCTGATCACTTCCCCTCTTCCAAGTACTTCAAAATAGATTCCTTAAGGATCCCTTCCATGATTTTTCCAGAAACCGAGGTTAGACTGACTGGTCTATAGTTCCTTGGATCGTCCTTCTTCCCTTTCTTAAAGATGGGCACTACATTTGCCTTTTTCCAATCATCCGGGATCTCTCCCCAATCTCAATGACTTTTCAAAGATAATGGCCAAAGGCTCCTTAATGACATTTACCAAATCCCTTAGCACCCTCGGCTGTATTAAGTCCGGACTCAGGGATTTATGTACATTTAACTTTTTAAAATAGTTCCTAACCTATTCTTTCCCCACCAAGGGCTGTCCACCTTCGTTCCATATTGCGTCACTTAGCGCATTAGTCTGGGAGCTGACTTTGTCCATGAAGACAGAGGCAAAGAAAGCGTTAAGGACTTCAGCTTTCCCCACATCATCTGTCACTAGGTTAACACCCTCATCCAGTAGGGGCCCCACAGCTTCCCTTATCACCTTCTTCTTGCTAACATGCCTGTAGAAACCTTTCTTGTTATCCTTCACATCTCTAGTCATCTGTCCAAGTTTTCACTTTTTGTAAGCTCCCTTTTTGTGCTAAAGTTCACCAAAGATTTCCCCGGTAAGACAATCAGGTCTCCTACCATATTTGCTTCTCTTGCTATGCATTGGAATGGTTTCTTTCTGTGCCTTTAATAAGGGTTCCTTAAAATACTGCCAACTCTTCTGTGCTCCTTCCCCTTCATGTTAGCTTCCCAGGGGATTCTGCCCATCAGGTCTCTGAGGGAGTCGAAGTCTGGTTTTCTGAAGTCCAAGGTGTGTATTTTACTACTCTCTTTTCTTCCTTTGGTCTGGATCCTGAAATCTACCATCTCATGATCACTGCTTCCCAGGTTGTCACCTACCTCTACTTCCCCTATTAGTTCCTCCCTGTTTGTGAGCAGCAGGTCAAGCTGTGCGCGGCTCCTGGTTGGATCCTTCAGCACTTGTACCAAGAAGCTATCCTCAACATTCTCCACAAACTTCCTGGATTGTCTGTGTGCTGCCATATTGGTCTCCCAACAGATGTCAGGGTGATTAAAGTCCCCCATGAGAACCAGGGCCTGTGATCTGGAAACTTCTCTCAGTTGTCCGAAGAAAGCCTCATCTACCTCATCCACCTGATTCAGCCTGTAGCAGACACCAACCACAACATCACTGCTGTTGCTTACACCTCTAAAGTTGACCCATAGACTCTCAACAGGCTTTTCTCCCTCTATATACTGGAGTTCTGAGCAATCGTAGTGCTCTCTTACATACAGTGCAACTCCTCCTCCTTTTCTCCCCTGCCTGTTCTTCCTGAACAGTTTATACCCTTCCATGACAGCACTCCAGTCATGCGAGTCATCCCACCAAGTCTCTGTTATCCCAATCAAATCATAGTTCTTGGACTGGGCCAGGGCCTCCAATTCTTCCTGTTTGTTACCCAGGCTTTTCGCATTGGTGTACAAACACCTTAGATAACCAGTTGATCACCCTACCATCTCATTTTGAATCAGGGGTCCTCCTTTGTTGCTCATTTCTCTTTGCATTTCTTCCCGGTATCTGATTTCCCCACTCCCCTCAGGGTTTTGGTCACCGTCCCCCAACAAACCTAGTTTGAAGTTCTTCTCACTAGGTTTGCAAGCCTGCCCGCGAAGATGCTCCTTCTTCTCTTTGTTAGGTGGATCCCATCTCTTCCTAATAATCCTTTTGCCTGGAACAGAGTCCCATGGTCGAAGAAACCAAAGTCCTCTCTGCGACACCACCTGCACAACCAAGCATTTACTTCCTCAATTCGACAATCCCTATCCACTCCTTTCCCTTCAACAGGGAGGATGGACGAGAACACCACTTGCACCCCAAAATCTTTTATCCTTCTTCCCAACTCTACATAATCCGCAGTAACCCAACTTCTTCTTTTGGGGGTGGTGGTCGTGGAACGCCCATCCCTAGGACTATACATCGCATGCCTTCCAGTAGAAGTGGTTCCCTTCCAATTTCTTCCTTGTGAGGTCCCTTCCAAAGCATTCACCATCACAGAGCCTGTGGAGAGAGCCTGAAAGCGATTACTTACCTCTGCAGGAATGGGGGATTCCTGTGCTGGCCTTTTTTTCCTTCGAGAAGTTACTTGCTGCCAGTTCTCTTCCTCGTTCTGTACTGCCTTCTTTGGCTCTTCCACGTGCCTTGCTTGCAGGATTAAACACTGCCTTCTATCAAGGAAATCTTCATCCTCTCTGATCAAGCGTAGGGTCGACACTGGGGCCTCCAGTCCTCTATTTTTTTCCTCCAAAATGGCGACCAGCTTGCACTTAGTGTAGATGAAATCCCTTCTTTCTTCCAGAGGAAGACAAACATGGCACATGCTGTGCAGGTAACAATAGCAGACCTATCACTATCCATAACTGCTATCCTAAAAAAGGGTTTAAAGGAAAGGCAAGAGTACCTCGCCCCCTTCTCAACTCCCTCTCTAAACTCCCTGTTTGCAATCACCTGTTCGCAAGCTCCCTGGTCGCTGACTCACTCCTTTATAAAGCCCTGGACTGCGTGATAGTCCTTCCCCCTACCAAGGCTCAGCCAATCAGCAGTGGCTTCTAGATTTCAAACTTTAATTAGAAGCCAACCGTTTCCAGCTGCCAGTTACAGCACACACTCCGTGCTGGTGGTGGGAGGAGACAGAGAAAAAAAACCCAACAGTATCACTAACCAGTGCCCCAACATGGCCTACGAGGAGCACAGGATCCTAGACAACAGGCAGGCCTGTTCCCATCAGCTTTCTTCATGGTATTGGCTCATGTATGTCCAAGAGCCATGTTCAGACTGAGCTGTCTCCCAATGGAGCTGAAGTTTTAAGGCAGTTACAGCGTGACCCTGCATGATGAAGAATGGTGGCTCAAGGCTGCACTCACAATCCTCCTCTTGCAAGATTCTGGATTTCCATTCTGGATGTTGCCACTGACTCTTGATGCCTGCCTTGATTTCCCCTCTGTAGAGATAATGCCCACTGGGGCAATGTATTTCCCTCTATGCAGCTGGCCAGTACCAATAGCCTAGGCAAAGGAATTGGGTGGAACAATGGCAATAACTTCACTGCCCCATTCTATCCTTTCCCTGGTCAGTTTGTGCTAATAAAGCAGAGGGATTGATGATACCCAGTCCTTTCTTAGAGGGAGCAGTCTCCTGGTGTCATCTCCTCTAGTATTACCAGACAATGGATGGGTACAATCTGACCCCAGATAACCCTGACTTCTCTTGGCGGGTCTGGAATGTTGTGAAAAGTCTTGTGTTCTGACTGCTTTATGTTTTCCAAATTCCCATAATCATATGCTCAAATAAAAAAAGGAAAAACCAAGGAATATTGCTAATGATATTCTATGCATCTCTTCGTCTACTGCAAAACCAAAGTAAAGAACTAAGCAGCCTGTCTGTGACTGCAAACAAAGTACTCTACAGCTTTCTCCAAAATATCTTTGTCTGGTGTGACTCGCCAGGGTCAGCTGCCTTCATCTGAGCGAATGGTGTATTTTAAAATGGAACTAGACATATAGCTGTTAACCCTTATCCAACTCCAGCCTAGCTCATAGATTAGTCTTTTCGATTGAGATTGATAACATAGGAACCGGGGCTTTAATCACTACTGGGTGATTAAAATAGTTTATCCAAATGCCAGACTTGTAGAATAGTTTCCACGGGTGTAGAATTTTGAAGCAAGCTGTGGTCCAGCAGCACAATTCATGGGCATTTTGTTAGCTATAGGGTGAGATTTGAAAAGGTTGTTTTAATTTGGCTGTTTAACAGGGTTGGCTCTAAAAACTAGCATGAAAGATATTACTGTCATAGCCTTTAATCTCTTAAAGGTGACCAGCAAAAGAGGGGGAGAGAAGAAATTAAGTTTATGCTTTTTTCCCTGTCTGAAGGCCTAAAATATGTCTAGTTTTTACAAAACTTTTTTTATGGACTGCTTTCATAAAACTTAGTCTGTTTATTTTCTATCATTAGACTTTTCAGACCAAAGCAATTTAGACAGGCTAAATGTTCTGGCCTGTGCTCCTTCAGGGAAAGGATTGTGTTGGCTAGTGCAGGTGTTGGGTTGAAGCAGCCTTTGGAATGGTGCTGCAGCTTCTCTATAGAGGATTCTTTCTCTTGCCACCCCCTGCACCTCTTGCAGCAATGGTGGCACCTTGGTACGAGTTCTGCCACCAGGCCACTCTCATCAAGGACACTGGTCCAGCAGTCTTCAACTGACAGTGCAGCCTGTAATGAAAAGAACATTATCAGGCAATATGCGGCAATTATACCAGACTAAACTGGCAGCCCTTGTAAATATTACCGGATAACCTTTGTCCGGGAGTAACGCGCTTTCCATTTTGGTGTTTCCTGGAGCAGTATGTAATGAGCCAATGGATGAAGGGATACATGGAGACAAGATCGGGATCCGACTCTACTATGATAAAACCACAGATCGCTGCAAACCATTTGCATACCGAGGTGCCGGTGGCAACGGGAATCGCTTTTTCACAGACAGGCAGTGTATGAAGAGATGCTCTACGTTAGCTGAGCAAATCTATCCAGATGATGGTAAGTCAGACCGGCTTGTATTTTGACTTTTCCATTCTCGATGTAGCTTCTTCCCGTTTTAGAGGTGGCGAGGTCATGAGAAGAATCCGGGGCTGTTTTGTTGCTATGGAAAGTGGTGGCTGCTTAGAATCATACAGAAGCTGCAGTTTGACCATCAACATTTGACCACTGCCACAGTGGGCTGAAAGCCCTGAGAAGGTGGGTAATAGAGGAGCTGGCCAGTTGGTAGCGGGAGGTTTGTGGGCATTGATAAGAGTCGGGCCCCTCACTTTTATAGCCTAACATTTACTAACATCATTTGGACCTGATGATGAGACTGAAGTCACTGGAATGCCTTCCGTGTTGCAGGGTGCCATCCTATGTACAGGCTGTAAGGAAGGTGAGACACAAAAGCAAAGCCAGGGACTGATAGTTGAGTATCGGTAGTCTTGTGTATTTCCTGAAACAAAATAACCTTTGCTTTGTTCTCTGCAGCCAGCTAGAAGAGGAGGCCCTTCTTGGTCACTGAGATTCCTGCAATATTGACCCTTAGTCGAATTGTGTAGGACTTAGAACGAGAGACAGTGCATAGTTAAAATCTGTTAAAATGTCCTGAAGATAGTTTCACTGGAAAGCAGGACATCAATATTTAATATTAAAATGAGTATATTAATCTTGGAAAGAATTCTGTGCCACTGTGCATGCACAGACTTCATGTACCGTGCAGAACTTTTTTTCTCTACAGAAAATGCATTCTGCTGAAAAAGTCCTGTAATTACCGTATTTTCCGGCGTATAAGACGACTTTTGATGTTAAAAAACATCCCCCCAAAATCGGGGGTCATCTTATACGCCAGGTATGCGGCTTTGCAAAGCCTCGGGGGAAGCCGGCGGCGGGACATCCCAGGCGCGCCTGAGCTGCCCCGCCGCCGGCTTCCTCCGAGGCTTTGCAAAGCCGCATATCCGGCGTATAAGACGACCCCCGATTTTGGGGGAATGTTTTTTAACATCAAAAGTCATCTTATACGCCGGAATATACGGTAAGTCTGGTACCTCAGAGCTGGCTAGCATAAAGTGCTGAATGTCTTATTGGACAGTTTGGGGATCTCCCCTTTACAGTTGTAGAAAAACTCCTCTGTTTAGCTCTTCAGAATTATGAGATTTTGCACTTTAAATATGTAACTGGTGTCAAAGGGAAATATTGCCCACCTGAAATAGGAAACACTACCCTCGCTCTTCTACCTTATTACATAAATTGTTGAACATTTAATGGACATCTCCCTTTCACTGATAAAGGGGACAAACATCTTAGGAGTTCCCTCTGTATAAACTTTATGCCTAGTGGGGTGGATTAATTTGAGGTTTTGGTGGTATTGTGGCTGTGCACCAAGGTGCTATGTCAAGTCCCTGTGATTGAGCCTTCCCAGACTGAGTTGTTCTCAGTATTTGAGTGGCTCTGCTGTGGGCTGTGATCCCCAACTATCTGCCTTGGCTGCGGGGAGACCAGAGGTATGTAAACAGACTCAGTGGTATAACACAACCCATCAATGACAGTCCCAAGGGGATTTCTGTGACTCAACTTGTCACAGCCCTCAATTGCCAGACAGCGCAAGCCTCATTTCAGCCCATCCTAAGCTAAGGGATGCACAGGCTTGTGTTAGCCTTGTGTACAGTGAGTAATGCTTGCTCACAACTGTAGAGTAGAAACTGACCAGGACAAAAGTGTTCTGAGCCACCAAACCTGTTTGTAGAGCAGATTGGCACTAGGATCAGATGTATGCAGGTGACAGCGGAAAGTTATTTAAACAAAACTAGAACTGAGTACGTGCAGAACAGACACAGATGCCTTGGAGTTTTCAACAAACAGTGAAGCAGAAATATCATACAGAGTATTTTGGCTACAAACATACCTGTTTAATATAGAGGGGAAATGATACAATCTGTGTATGGTTACAATTTACAGACACTGAAATAGCTGCCAGGATTCTACCTGCTGTGTACTGTACAAACAGAAATTAGAGCTGGAAAAGACCCATTCGTTCACCCTGTCCATGTCACTGCCAGTGCAGTGTGGTTCCTGACAGGATGTTTCCTAGTGCTTGGCTTGGGACATTATATAAGTAGATTGGACCAAGTTTCATCCATCACTTCCTCTCAAAATCTCTTCCATAGCCCAATAGGTCTTACTGGTCACAGGACACTTGATTTTTCCCCCCTGAGACTTAGCCTAAATTTCCCCTTTGTTGTCCCATTCCATTCTTTCTACTTCTAACCCTCTAAATGCCTGAGTATATACTACTGGCAAGTAAGTAATTTGTAACTCATTTTTTGTTGAATTTTGCAAATAGGTTATGAAGTGCTCAAAGCTATTTCACGTAAAGTTCATAAGCAGGGGCGGCCCGTGAGTATAGGCCAACTTGTCCATCGCCTAGGGCGCCGCCTTCAACGGGGTGCCCGGGGTACCCAATGATGACGTCATGCCATTGACAGCCGTGCAGGCGGGGGCACCGATCACGCGTTCCATCTGGGGCGCCAGCTGCCGCAGCCCACCTTGAGCCACCCCTGTTCATAAGCTATTCATGGAGGAAGGAAAATCTAAAACTCAGAAGTAACTTGAGTTCAATATTTTCCGTTCAGAAGTTTGTGCTTTGTGTTTTGCCCCATGTGACTAAGGCTTTGTATACACTGGCAATTGAGCAACAAAGCTTTTGGCGTTCACGGGTGTTTAACCTTCCCTCCACAACAAAAGCTAGTGTAAACAGCGCAGGATCCACAAAGCAAACACTGCGCGTAAGGGATGGATGCTTTTTGGTTGGCAAAAGTGGAAGCAAACAGTGTTTACACTGCCTGACTTTTAGCAATGTGTATGTCTACTCTACCAAGTTTTGTCAACAAGACTTATGTCAACATCCTAAGGTCGACAAACCAAAAAATTCCCAGAAAGTGTTCTTGCTTCCTTCCTGTGTTGACAGATCATCTCCACACCATCAACGTGTAAGTAGTGCACTGGGTATGTGTCCTGCAGTGCAGTGTTGTGGCAACTTGTGGGAAGGCAGGGCTCCTCATTGCACATCACGGGGTTCCTCCGGAGTTCTCCCACAGCCTCCTCAGCTGCGAGCAATGGTATTATGAGTAGCTCTGTGCTGAGGAATAGGTGAACGGGGTGGGCTGAGCCAGCCCTTAGCACTGCCCAGAGAGCGCCATGCCTTCCCTAGGCAGCCCTCAGTGCTGCCTCTAGTGCACTGCATTGTACTTCTGCAGCCATTTAGAGGGCCCAGGGCTCTAGTCATTGCCACTGCGGCAGCAGCTGGGAGCTCCGGGCCCTTTTGTATTACTGGGCCCTGGGGCATTTTCCCCCATTGTCCCCTCCCCACCCCCCATCCGCAGGCCTCGTTTCAGTCAAATGGACAGTGCAGGGTTCCACTTCAGCAGGGGGTTTGTGAGAACTTGGAATCCTTCTCTCTATCCTTCCCCAGCGTACTTTATGTAAAATGAGTCGGATTTTATTTGTTTAATACACCCAAGCTTACTTAACTAGCCCTCTCCAAAAACTTTAGGCCAGATGTGCTCAGAATGCCATAGTCAGAGTGGAATGAAATCAGTTGTGCTAGATTAACAGTGTTTTGTTTTGACCAATTAAAGGATGTAATAAATACTCCTGAACAATCATAGTGTTAGAAGCAGGAGTACACAACCATGGCTATACTTGCAAGACCGTGTTTGAAGAGACTTTCACGTGGAATTTACAGAAGCAGTTACTGTAAGAAGTGTTAGTAAAGACAGTTAAAGGAAATAATGCTCTTGGATGTCACTCACATTATGGCACAGATGAAGATGGGCACTTTAACAACTGATTAGACTGGAATGTGAAACTGCAAAACAAAGGAGGACTTTCAGTTTAAAAGAATTCCTTGCCTGTTCTGAATAATAATTTTGGCAATTTAAACTGAAGACTTTTTAGAAATGCATATTGCTTACTCCATTTACTCTTTTTCTATTTTCTTTAAACAAACTGAATGAAATATATAGTCACTTTCACTTTTGTTAATATTCTACAGCATTGTGCTAATGCATGGCAGTGAAAATGAAGCGAGGTTTGGGTTGCAAACACCATAAGGAAAATGCTTTATTTCTGCAAAAATGGTTCCACTGGAATGCTTAAAATCATTTTATTGTAAAATCTAGAATACAGGCCCAGATAGACAAGGCCTTTTGGGAGATCTTATGAATGTCTGTCTAGCATTTAATTTTTTCCTCCAAGCACTTTTTCTGTAGCTGGAAAAGAGATTGTATTTCCTCGGCTTGTCTACTGTACACAGAACTCCACTACTGCAAATGTCTATGCAGCTGTGAGTACTGCTTCTACCAGAATGTGCTCTATGGGATCGGTGTCTTTGAATTTAGCTGCTTTCCATCAGAGCTCAAGTCTGAAATAAAATTGTGCTGCTCATTTTTACAACTATAATTTTTGACACTGTCCTGCAAGTTACATGGTTGCACTGAAGCGTTTCTTATATGAAGTTTTGAGAGTAAATATTTCTTTGCTATCCTGGTTGTGCTGTGTGGAAGTGTGAGAATGAATGTGTTTGCCTCCGAGGGAGGCATCCAATTTTCTGGGCTCACCCAAGTCACAAAGATTTCAAAGTAGCCTTTAGAAATATCCATTCCAGGGATTGTATTTTGAAAGGTGTGCTCAGAAATGATGAAATGACGTATGTTTCAAGTTATCTCAAAGTTTTAAGGTTTTGTCAAGGTCAGGAGCAAGCTGTCTCTCTGGGCAAAACACAAACCATGAGAAAGGTCAAGTTTCTTCTAAGAGTGAATTATCATCCCATTGTGCCTTGAGTAACCCTCAGTCACCAATATGAAGGAGGAGAAAATAACCTTTCAGTGTGGTTTAAAATGAACAAATAGAACCCGATCCTCAGCTAGTGGAAATTAATGTATAGCTCTATCAAAGTTTATACCATCTGAGGACCTGGCTCAGAATTCCAACTCTGCCATGCTGGTCCATGTTGGCAGAACACTGAGTCCCACCCTTTCTATAGAATCACAGATGGATCCTGTACATAATAAGCAATTTTGATCAAGTAAATCCAATCAGTGTTGTGTCCAGTTCTGGGCACCACATTTCAAGAAAGATGTGGAGAAACTGGAGAAGGTCCAGAGAAGAGCAACAGAAATGATTAAAGGCCTAGAAAACATGAGCTATGAGGGAAGGCTGAAAGAATTGGGCTTGTTTAGTTTGGAAAAGAGAAGATGGAGAGAGGACATGATATCAGTTTTCAAGTACTTAAAATGGTGTCACAAGGAGGGGGGAAATGTTCTCTTTGGCATCTGATGATGCCAAACAAGAAACAATGGGCTTAAACTGCAGCAAGGAAGGTTTAGGTTGGACATTAGGAAAATCTTCCTAATGGTCAGGGTGGTTAAACACTGGAATAAATTGCCTAGGGAGGTTGTGGAATCTCCATCACTGGAGATATTTAAGAGCAAGTTTGATAGACATCTATCAGGGATGATCTAGATGGTACTTGGTCCTGCTGTGAGGGCAGGGGACTGGATTTGATCTCTCAAGGTCCCTTCCAGTTCTAATATTCTGTGATTCTATGGTTATCACACATGCAATTTTTTACTGAAACCTGTTTTGAGGATAGGAAAAGCCTGTGATGTATAATATTGTAGTTTAAAAAAGCTGTTATAAACAATTTGTTTGCAATAGCACCAAGAAATCTTTAAGTACATTAGGCTTAGATTCTTAACCAGGGATAGACATTGTGAATTGGGCATGTCACTTAGCATTCTCACCCTTTCTTAAAATATGCAATGCTACTGTCTTTACCTGAAGGAAAATAGCTCCCTTCCCCTCCCCCATACATTGTTATATTTTAAAATTTCACCTAGAATTCTCAGCTGAGATTGGGGGACTGCTATCTAAACATGAGATAGTTCTTACTCCCAACTTAAAATTTAAATAGACAAGAATACTCCCTAGTACAATGACCTGCCCAAAGTCACACCAGATCAGCAGAGTCAGGAACCAAACCCAGATTTCTTAGGTCACTGTCCTAGCTACTATGCCACATTGCTGCATATGCGCAACAGGTCTAGACCAGTAAATGAGACTTTTAAGTCTCACACTACATCATGGAATTGGTTCCTACTAACTCACAAGACTAAAATTATGCCCTTCGTTACCTGTGCAACCTCATTGAACCAAAGCGTGTAACTGAGTAGACTTTGGCCCATTATACACCTACATTTAAGATAATCAAATCTGTTGTGTATCTACTTTAAGTATATCTATGATAAGTAACCCTGGCTTTCTTATAGATAACAAACCAGTCTGCCAGAGCCCATATTTGATATTCTCCCAGAGAAGAAATGCACAGCCCCTCCATAAAAATATTTGGGGATAAGATTGACCGAGGAATGTATTCTAGTTAAGGGGCTTTATTGTTGCATATGTTGGCCAGTAGTTAGTAAAAACTGAGCATATCACATTGAATTCAGAGTTTTTGTGTGTGAATTCTTTTATTTTAAATTATGATGCTAAGCAGATCAGAAAGAAAGAAAACAAATTTGTCTGATTCAAAGAGTTGCAGAAGAACTAGGGGTCATCACATGAAATTAATAGGCAGATTTAAATCAAACAAAAGGAAGCACTTTTTCACACAATGTGTAGTCAGCCTTTGGAACACCTTGCCAGAGGATGTTGTGAAGGCCAAGACTATAAAAGGGTTAAAAAAGGAACTAGATCAATTCATGGAAGATAGGTCTATCAATGGCATTAGCCAGGATAATGTTCCAAGCCTCTGTTTGTCAGAAGCTGGGAATGAGAAACAGGAAATAAATCATTTGGTGAGGTGATTCTCTGTTCTGTTCATTCCCTCTGGGGCACCTGGCATTGACCACCATCAGAAGACAGGATAATGGGCTAGATACACCTTTGGCCTGATCCAATAGGGCTGTTCCTATGATTTACAGTATCTCCTATGTTCTGATTTTAACTTTTTGTTCTCTATACAGACCGTGTTTGCCTCTTGGAGAAGGATCTTGGACATTGTAAAGGAACGTACTTGTTGTGGTATTTTGATCATACGCTGAAGAAGTGTAGGACCTTCATTTATGGAGGTTGTGCAGGAAATGGAAACAGATTTGTTAATGAGACAACCTGTTGCCAAAAGTGTGCTCAGGGTATGTACAAGTGCATTCTGTGGTACCTGATAGAGATTTGGGTATCTACTATCCACTGCCCTGAGTAGATATGACTTGCTGTAGGCAAAGCAAGTAGCACTGCCAATTGCTAAGCTGCCTACTATGTTCCATTATAAAACTCCATTTTCAGATGTTGATAACTTAGACCAGTGGTCCCCAACGCGGTGCCCGCGGGCGCCATGGCACCCACCGGGGCATTTGTGTGCGCCCACCGACAACCTGGGCCGGTCCCACCCCCGGCGCACGGCGCACTGGAGGCGCCGGCCCCAGGCGCGCGACACGCACCGGCGCTGGGTGTGCGGCGCTCGGGCGGCCCCAACCCCGGCCCCAGCCCTGTCGCACATGCCGGCGCCAGGTGCAAGGGCATCCCTGCCCCTGGCGTTCCCCAGGACGCTCGGCCCCGCCCCCAGGTGCCCGGCGCATGGGTGGCCCCATCCCCCAGGCGCCCGGTGCGTGAGTGGCCCCGCCTCCAGGCGCCCGGGAGCCTCTAAAGGTTGGGGACCACTGACTTAGACAAACTTTAACTGTTTAGGCTGAAATTGTACATCGTAGGTGTCATTCAGTACTGCTTGATACGGTGACCCAAGAGGACGCTCGGCCCCGCCCCCAGGTGCCCGGCGCATGGGTGGCCCCATCCCCCAGGCGCCCGGTGCGTGAGTGGCCCCGCCTCCAGGCGCCCGGGAGCCTCTAAAGGTTGGGGACCACTGACTTAGACAAACTTTAACTGTTTAGGCTGAAATTGTACATCGTAGGTGTCATTCAGTACTGCTTGATACGGTGACCCAAGGCAAAGAATTCATTTAATCATTTTTATGACATTCATATCTATCATTTCTGAGTGCTTCACAAATACAAACAAACTTAGCTTCACACCTCCCCCCCATTGTGATATAGAAAAATATTCTCCACATTGTACAGATTGAAAACTGAGGTACAGAGAGATGAAGGCCAAAATTGTCAAGGGTCTTTTAATTTTGGATGCTCAGTTTGAGATGCCTAGAACCTGATTTAGTCAGAGTACAGTTGCAATTGTGAGTGCTTGGCTCTTCTGCAAATCAGATCTCAGATGTCTCAAGTTGGGCATCTATAAATAAAAAACTAAGTGGCCATCTATGAAAGCTTTTGGTTTACATGACTTGTCCAGCATCACATAGACATCTGTGCCAGAGGCAGGGATAGAATCTACTTCTCCAGGGTAGCATTCAACTGCCATAAGCAAGTGACTCCCATTTTTCTTCCTGCTGTCCTCTAATTTCCAATTTCTACAGCAATGAGGCCAATAGTCTTATACACAATAGCACAATTTCCTATGCAGTCTTGATTTATTGAGCAAAACTAATCCTATCCATTGAATGAGGCAGAACTCCTGTGGAATATGGCATGAAGTGATGTAATTAAAACTGTATTATAATGGATATGCACAGGAATCTGAATTAACGTTTTTTTGAGTGTCTGACTTTACAGCCGTAGGGTATGTCTACACAGCAGAGAACAATCGAAGCTGCCATTCTCGATCTTCCAGGGTTTGAATTGGCGGGTCTAGTTAAGACAGCTAATTCAAACTGAGAAGGGTGCTTCAGTCGATGCTGGTAGTCCAGCTTCTACAAGGAGTAAGGGAAGTCTGTCAGGCCCAACAGGTAGTGATCAACAGCTTAATGTCAGGTTGGTGGTCGGTTTCTAGCAGAGTGACCCAAGGATAAGTTCTTGGACCAGTTTTGTTCAACATTTTTATTTATGACCTGGATGAGGGGATGGATTGCACCCTCAGCAAGTTTGCGGATGACACTACGGTGGGGGAGAGGTAGATATGCTGGAGGGCAGGGATAGGGTCCAGAGTGACCTGGACAGATTAGAAGATTGGGCCAAAAGAAATCTGATGAGGTTCAAAAAGGACAAGCGCAGAGTCCAGCACTTGGGATGGAAGAATCCCAAGTATTGTTACAGGCTGGGGACCCAGTGGCTAAGTAGCAGTTCTGCAGAAAAGGACCTGGGGATTACAGTGGATGAGAAGCTGGATATGAGTCAACAGTGTGACCTTGTAGCCCACAAGACTAATGGCAAATTGGGGTGCATTAGGAGGAGCATTGCCAGAAGATCCAGAGAAGTGATTATTCCCCTTTATTCTCCTCTGGTGAGACCACAACTAAAATATTGTGTCCAGTTCTGGGCCACCCACTATAGAAAGGATGTGGACACATTGGAGAGGGTCCAGCGGAGGGTGACCAAAATGATTAGGGTGCTATAGCACATGACCTGTGAGGAGAGACTAAAGGATTTGGGTTTGTATAGTCTGGAGAAGAGAAGAGTGAGGGGGGATTTGAGAGCAGCCTTCAATTTCCTGAAGGGAGGTTCCAAATAGGATGGAGAAAGGCTGTTCACAGTAGTGACGGATGGCAGAACAAGGAACAATAGTCTAAAGTTGCAGTGGGAGAGGTCCAGGTTGGATATTAGGAAAAACTATTTCACTAGGAGGGTGGTGAAGCAGTGGAATGGGTTACCTAGGGAGGTGGTGGAATCTCCATCCTTAGAGGTGTTTAAGTGTCAGCTTGACAAAGCTCTGGTTGGGTTGATTTAGTTGGGATTGGTTCTGCCTTGGACAGGGGGCTGGACTTGACGACCTCCTGAGATCTCTTCCAGCTTTATGATTCCATGATTCTAAGTAAAAGGGAGAGTTCCTGCAGTGTGGACAGTACCAAAAGTCAAGTTAACATTCTTCAACTTCAGCTACACAATTAACATAGCTGAAGTTGCATGTCTTAATTCGACCTTGTACTATAGTGTAGACATACCCTTAATGTCCTTCTATTTGTTTTATATGGAAGTATTAGAGAACTGACACTTTGACTGACCTCAGGTGGTCATTCTTGGAACTGCCTAAGCAATAAATAACACTAGCACCAGAATGTGGCTTATTATTGTGGCTGCTGCATATCTTCTTCTTACTATATATTTTAGAAATGTGCATCTATCTGTCTGTCCATCTGTGAGCCAGTTTGATCAAGAGCTCCTCCTAAATGGTAAGAGCTAGGACCACCAAATTTGGCATGCAGCTTCCTTTTCTCATAATATAAAGCAAGGTCAGGGTTTGGTGGTGCTAGGATAATGAGATGTGCATGGAATTTGATTGTTTATCATAAAGTGGAAAGGGAGGAGTCTAGCAGTACGGAATTACACTGCAGAATGACCACATCGGGGCAGCAAGAGGGCCAGTGATGGGGACCAGAACAGCTATAAACCCATTGAGCCAGTAGGGGGTGAGGGGAGGAAAGAACAGCTATCTACTATTTATTTCAGTGAGTGTATCTGTTTGTGTCTGTTTGTCTGTATGCACCTCTTCCTCAGCTGTGTCCACTGAAACAGCAGTGGCCATGGACAAGCACCTGGCCCTAACTTGCAGTGAGGGAGGAGGGGGCGGGTGAGGTTGTCCTTTTTCCCCAGGGCATCCTGCATAGTGAACCGTTCATACCCAGCCCCATCCAGAACAATGATTTAAATGAAGAAAAACAAAACTTATTAGAGTTAAGGACACAAGGAATGCCTGGTAAATCTTCTAGTCCCTGATGTAGAATGATGAGGCTCCTATTATTGCCAAAGTTACCTGTGCTTCTCCCAAATGTAGTCATCCCCTCGTTCAAATTGCTGAAAAACACAATAGACACAAACTATCATGAAGCTCACCTTTGTATATTTTGCTTCTTTTAGTGTAAATACTCTGAATATGCAGAGTGCTACCAAATTGGGGCCAATTGCTGGCCTCGGATATTCATGGATGGCTTCTGTTGAAGTTTATGGTAGCTGCCTGCACGTATGCTAAAGCAGAAAATTATGCATAGGTCTTTAATTATGGTAGGAGTTGTGTTGTACTGTGCTCAGCAGATGTTTTTAAGCTGTAGCATTGATTCTTAGGGTTACATTGTAAAGAAACATTGATCCCTGTGCAAGCCTATTGCATAGCCCCCATATAATTTTCTTTAGCCATCATTTTAATTAGGTTGTTGCTTTTAAAATGTTACCTTACAGTCTAAGTAAGGCTAGTAGGATCCAGTTCTAAATCAAATAGTATGTATTACAGAAGGTTTGCATGTGTTTTTTGTATAAAACACCTGAATTCCTTGCCCGCAGCAATCTAACTAACCTTTCTTGTCAGATTCTCTCCAGCAATCCAAATTTTATTCATCCATTGGCAAGTTATTTGTAAAGCTTCCTTCTCCTTCCGAATATTCAACGTGGATATTTTCCAGGCAAAGAGGTTGCATTATGAGCATACCCAGTGTGCAACATTAATATTGTCCTTTTGCAATTTCATGTATTTGATCACTTGTGAAAGCACCACTGCTCTTTGCTGGGTGGAATCAAACTTGCTCAAGCATTTGCAACTTACCTTGACCACTAGAGCAGGGGTGGGCAGTAATTTCTGATGGGAGTCCCCTCCAAGATTTTGGTAAATTGTCAAGGGCAGCACTTTTCTAGAGAGAGGGTATAGGATCTGGGATGGAAGTTGGGTGCAGAGGGAGTTTGGGTAGAGGACTGGGGTGCAGGAGATGGTGTGGGGTCTGAGAGGGAGCTTGGGTGAAGGAGGGGGCTGTGCCCTGAGGAATAGAATTGGGGTCGAGGGTCTGGGAGGGGATTTGGGTGCAGGAGAAGATTCTGGCCTGGGGAGGAGAGTCAGAGGTGGGTGGGGTGCCAGAGACAGGCTCTGGCTAGGAGGCATTTACCTAAGCAGCTCCCAGACAGCAGCACTCTCAGGCAGGCTTCCCTGCCTGATAGCACCCCCAGAGCACTTTGTTGCAGGTGGCTCTCTGTGCTGTGGTGTGTGTGTTCACAAATTGCTCCCACCCCCAACAAAACCTCTCTGCTTCTATTAGCTGGAAACTGGCCAATGGGAGCTGAGAAATTGTGCTGCACCCATCCACTCTCTGCAAAATCTCTCAGCTCCCATTGGCCGGTTTCACCTCCCTTTGCCACAGTGCAGAGAGCCACAGGGATGGGCCATGGGCTGGATTAAAAGGATTGGAGGGCCAAATCCTGCCTGCAGGGCTGTCTCTTGCCCATCCCTGGACTAGAGACTGTTCTACAAGCTCAGTCTGGCTACATTTGAGCTGATGAAGAAACTTCTTTAGCTTTTCTGTTTTATTAATAAAAACCATGTTTCAGGAAAGCACATAAGCAACTGGATAAAGGTGAGCAAGTGCTTTAATGAATTGGGATTGCAATGAAAAAGGATCTAAAAATAACAATCAATTCATTTTTAGGTCCTGCCTGTGAACAAACGGGAAAGGAAGATGAAGGAACTGATGTAGGTAAGCGAGCATTTTTTTATTTAATAGTAATTCACCAGTGCATGCCCTCTGAAGCAGTTGTTTGCCTTCCTTTATTCTAGAAGTAAGGAATTCCAGTGGCAGCCAACCATTCCAGAAAGCCATAATGATTGCCTATTACATTCCCACAATGATAGGGGAGTGACATAATTGAAATTACAATGACCTAAAGTTACAGTGGGGGAGGTCTAGGTTGGATATTAGGAAAAACTATTTCACTAGGAGGGTGGTGAAGCACTGGAATGGGTTACCTGGGGAGGTGGTGGAATCTCCATCCCTAGAGGTGTTAAGTCTCGGCTTGACAAAGCCCTGGCTGGGTTGATTTAATTGGGATTGGTCCTGCCTTGGGCAGGGGGCTGGATTTGATGGCCTTCTGAGGTTTCTTCCAGCTCCATGGTTCTATGACGAGATGCAGGTTAAAATTCATATATGTTAATCATAAATATAATCTCACTAAACTAACAAAGGTCATTTAAAAACAATTGACCCATCTGCCTGGTTGATTTGGTTCAGATCCATGAAAGGGTGTAGATGTTGCAATGCCGAATGCCATGGCACCTGGCTTTTAGGGGCCCAGAAACTCAGAGAAGCAACACAGCAATCCACAAAGTCTGAGTTAGGTGCCTTGGCTCTCTATGCAGAGCTAAGCACCTTATAGTGCAATCCACAAAACCAGCATCCTAGAGTGGCAGCCGCCTAAGGCTCCCAATGGAGATGGTGACCGGAAGGGTGTGTGCTAAGCCCCATCACTCTTAGAGATAGTCTCCAAGACTAGGATGCAGTTAGTTCTAATGATCCACAAACGGGGAAATTAGGCAGCCTCTTAAATGGCTTGTAGGCCCCAAAACAAAATGACCTGTGAGTGGGGAAGGAGGTGCCCCCTTACAACCTTTAATCTAGTTAGGATACTCACTCACCCAGGATGTGGGAGACTGTCAATTTAAAGCTCCCCTCTGCCTGAAAAGGAGTCAAGAATTGTATGGGAATCTGCCACCTTCAGGTAAGTGCCCTGACTACTGGGTTGCGTCTAGATTGGCATGTTTTTCCGGAAATGCTTTAAATGGCAAAGTTTTCCATTAAAAGCATTTTTGGAACAGAGCGTCTAGATGGGCATGGACGCTTTTCTGCAAAAGCACTTTTTGCGGAAAAGCGTCCGTGCCAATCTAGACGTGCTTTTCCGCAAAAAAGCCCCGATCGCCATTTTCGCGATCGGGGCTTTTTTGCGGAAAACAAATTGGAGCTGTCTACACTGGCCCTTTTGCGCAAAAGCTTTGCGCAAAAGGGACTTTTTCCTAAACAGGAGCAGCATAGTATTTCTGCAAGAAGCACTGGTTTCTTACAGTAGGAAGTCAGTGCTTTTGCGGAAATTCAAGCTGCCAGTGTAGATAGCTGGCAAGTTTTTCTGGAAAAGCGGCTGATTTTCTGGAAAAACTGGCCAGTCTAGACACAGCCCTGGAGTATGGGATTTTCCAGTGCAGATCTTTTGTTTAATCTGCTTTGACTCTTCCAACTTCCTGTTTCTCATACTGTTTGATGCTGAACCTCTATACACACTCATGGGAATACGCAGAACTGGCAGAATCATGCTGGACTCCAGAGCTGAGGTCTTGGAAAATTGAGATAGGGGCACCGTTCTGAAGGGCTTGCAGAGAAATCCAAAGAGAAGCATTGTTTCAGGTATGCAGGGTATCTAATCTGATATGCTTAAGGGCAAACCTGCTGCTCAGCCCCCAAAAGCAAGAAATCCTCTCGCCCAGGATGCTGTGTATCCCACAGATGACCTGTTCCATGGCTGATCCCCTCCCTTGCTGACTGGGTCACTACCAGGCAAGGCCCTTCTGCATAATTGCGATGTTGTGTGGGGTGATCATACCCCATGAATTCCCCTGGCATTCTTGCCCCCTCACTACTTCCAGTGCTATGGGCACATGCACAGCTCTGAAGGCAGGAGGAAGCTTTGCTTCTGTTGGAGATAGAAAGAGCCTGAAGCATGGGTCTGGTGTAAGGCTTGAACCAAAATGAGCAAGAGTTGCATTATGAGTAACAGACAGGCCTTGTCAAAAGCAGCTGTTTGCCTTCAAGTCAGTATCTGGGGAACACGAACTCGGCACCAGTCCTGCTAGCACCGCTCGACTACACGGACCATGTAAATACATTCCACCAGGACAGTACAAGGACACCCCAACCTAGCACATGATGAAATAGTTTGACAAAAGTGATGAATAGTGATATTTTGCCCAAAATATCAGGAGTGAAAACACAATAACAGGTGGCGAATAGGAATGCTTTGTATGAAATGTCAGGAGGAAAGCACAAGGCAAGGGTACAAACATGTCGTTAACACGTAAGATGATATATCAAAGGTGTATATCAAAGATAGTTTGTCTCAGTTTACAAATGACTTAACTCTTTGCCCAGCCTAGGGGACAGTGGGGAATCCCATGTTACTGACTGAACTGTGTCCATCATCATGGGCATATATTCTTAATAGACCTCTAAAAAACAACAGTTTGGTTGCACTTTAAAGACTAACAAAACATGTAGATGGTATCATGAGCTTTCGTGGGCACAGCCCACTTCTTCAGCTCGCTTCCAGTCATCTGCAAAAGTGGGCTGTGCTCACGATTCATTTACATGTTTTGTTAGTCTTTAAAGTGCTACCAGACTATTTGTTGTTTAAGTTTTTCCTGTTACAGACTAACTCTACTACCCCTTCTGAAGCTGTAGACAGTGCGTATCTATGCTGTAAACCTTTATTTGGACATGTGGAGCTGCAGGACTTCTTACTCCAACTCCTAGTAATCCTCATTTCACAAGGGCTGCGTTTAGACTGGCATGATTTTTCGGAAATACTTTTAACGGAAAAGCTTTTCCGTTAAAAGTATTTCCGCAAAAGAGTGTCTAGATTGGCAAGGATGCTTTTGCGCAAAAAGTGCTTTTGCGCAAAAGCATCCGTGCCAATCTAGACGCGCTTTTGCGCAAGAAAGCTCCGATGGCCATTTTAGCCATCGGGCTTTCTTGCGCAAAAAATTAAGGTACCAGTCTACGCTGGCCCTCTCGCGCAAGTATTCTTGAGCAAGAGGGCTTATCCCTGAGTGGGAGCGTGAAAATCTTGCCAGTCTAGACGCACCCAAGGAGCAAGGGAAGTTGAAGGAAGAATGTTCTTCCTTCGACTTCCTGCTGTGTAGACAGCACCAAAAGCCAAATTAAGCTATTTTGACTTCAGCTACGCAATTGACATAGCTGAAGTTGCGTAACTTAATTTGACTTTAGCCCTGCTGTGTAGACGTACCATAAGAGCTTTGAGGCTGTGGGTCCTTCTTGTCTTTTTCCCCACCACATGGTACGTGCTAGCTGCATCTCAAGCAGTAGTAACTCCCTTTCATAGCTGCTACCCTATTCAAACTGTTACTTGATCAGAAATGCACCAGGTCTTAAGGAGAACATGCTACAGGTCATGGCTGCTTGCTGGCTTGGCACCATATTCTGTTCTGGTTGAGTGGGTTTCCAGAGGGAGAGAAGAATGCTTTGTTTCCTTTTTCCAGGGCAATGGAGGGAACCAATCTCATCTTTAGACTCCAGAACATGAATAACCTCCTTGTTGCCACTGTCTGTTAATATCATAGCTGTTCCATTCTAGTACAAGTCCAAATTTTGGCACTGACCTGCCTTTCCTTGGTAGGTGACAGTTCTCATACTGTCCAAATGCTGTGAGACAGGACACCTGATGTGCAATAAGGTACCAAAGAAGTATGTCCACTATACTTGAGAAATCATATGTAGAGGGGCTGCTTCGGCCACTAGCAGAAGTAACACAAGACAAAGGCATTTGTGGAGAGATGGCACTGCACCAGCTATGTCCTGTATTTACTCATGCACGGGCTGCAGTGGAAAGCAACACAATCTGGCCACTTTCTCTGACATTCTGCCTTCTGTTCTGTCTCTGTCATTGGTGAAATCTGTTCTCTCATTAACCAGACACTAATTTTCCTGCAGGCTTGGTGCTTGGAATCACTGTGGGATGTACTGCAGCAGTTATCTTAGTATCCACACTTGCCATTTGCCTTAAGAAAATGTAAGATTTTTATATTCCATTCAATACAGGTGTCTGGATATTATATGAGATATTGTAAATCAAGGGGATAAAAGCAAACCAAAAATGACCTTCCCCAACATCTTTGCTTGACTGAATTGTTCTAGTCCTACTTGTTTTCTTGTTCACATATGAAATAATTTGGATTAGATAATATTCAGTAAATGGTCAACTGTATTATCAGGTATTATCCAGAAGGGGAATTTTTAATGAGTACAACGTTATCAGGTTTTAAATACTGGATCATTCAGAGGGGACACTTAAGTGCAAACCTCGAAGGTATTTAGGCTACTAACTTCCACTGATTTCAGTGGAAGTTAACAAGCTAAATACCATTGAAGATCTGGGCTTTAATTCATTAGGCTAAACAGTCTATGGGAACAGGTAGACGTATCCCATAGGTGGTATTTCTTGCTCCTGTATGTTTCTACTCATGAAGCAAAGCTATTGAAAAAAGGAAAATTTAAAGTAATAAATTCCTAGATTTCAAACAAAGCCTGCTTAATTCAGTCCAGGATCCATACATATGCTTTTCTTAACAAATCAGACTTAATTTACTTTGTTCTGGAGCTAAAAAACAACAAAACAAAAGAAAAAAACCACAGAAGCTAAAAAACAAGACTTTTTCAGCAGCTGCATAGCTTTAGCCCACATTCATCCCCAATGTATTTATTTTACTTGTAAATATCTCTATTAACTGACTCATGGCCCCTGAGTGTGCTGCTGGCATAACACACTCAGCCCACATACTTTTATAAAGGATTCTGTTGGCTTATGTAAAACAATGAGAAAATTAGGGGACAGTTTTAAACATATGGATTGGTTTGGAAAAGAAAATGAACCTACAATGAAACGGTTGAGCTAATTTAATCCCTCTCTCTTAATTGTCCAGTGTGAAGAAATATACAGTCAGAGAAGAGAAGCAAAATAAAACCATGTCTAATATAGAAATGTACTAACCAGGAAGAGAAACCTTCTTATTTCCTTTGATTAATGTAGTGAATTCCCTGATTTGTATCATATTGTTTTGTTACATGTAATACTGTTTATACTTTGTCCTTCCCCAAAACATTTTGCTTCTGGGAAAAATCAGGTCTAATCATACCAACAGACTGTATAGTCTTCCTTTTTTGGTAATAAATTTTATAAAGAACCTATGAAATGTGTGTGACAGGCTGGATGATAGAAACCCCCTTGGGGTTGTCCCTGGTGTGCTAATCAAGCCACTGATGCTGCCTTCCTGTCCTCTTGGGTTGCCAACCATCCTGTCCTGCTGGGACAGAAGCTCCGGTCTCCCACAGCCAAGGCACAGAGTTGGGGTTACTGCCTCTCTGCAGAGCAACACAGACACTGAACCAGTTCACCTCTGGGAGGGCTCAGCTATAATGACTCAGCACCCAGAAAACCAAACACCAGAAAGAAATGAAAATCCCAAACAAATGCATCTTATCCTATGTAAAAGGGTAACGCAGAGAAAGCTCCTAAGTTTGCTCTCTTTATCAGTGGAAGAGAGAGATGCACAGAGAGTGCTCTCCCATCCCAAATAATTATTTACACTAGGCTTGATGATTACAATGTTTTTATGAAGTACAAAAAGTAGGATTTAAGCGGTTGCAAGGGAAAACCATCAAAACAAAGTAATTTTCTAAATTAAACAAAAAAGCCAACTAATCCTAATCCACTAAGAAATTTGTTTCATGCACATTCTTACCCTAAAGTAGTTGTTCTACTCATCTCTTTCAGAAGCTAAGTAGTCTCCTAGCTTGGGCCTGATCCTTCCCCCTGTTCATGTATATATTACTTAGCAGGCATCTCATGTGGTAATTTGGGGGTGGTCCCTTTTTGGGGGCCCCCCCCCCCCCCCCAGGGGCAGATATAGGGCAGGACGAGCGGGGCAGCCGCCCTGGGCCCCCCGCATGTGCCGTGGCAAAGGGGGTCCCCCGCAAAATTGGGCTGCCCTGGGCCCCGCAAAATGGTCACCCGCCCCGTTCCCCCCCGCACCTTATATCCCTTTTGCTCAAGGCAAGAATTCTTTGAGATCAGTTCAAACTTTTCTCAGCACGAGTGGAAAAGTACCAGATCCAAAATTGGTTTCAGGATCAGGTGGCCTGACCAGGTGTCTTTCTAGGACCAACCACAGTTTGGTCTTATAGGACAAACAAGACTATTCACAGCTTGTTGACCTGATCACCAAATTTCTGGATCATCAATAATGGCCTTTATTAGCACATTAAGAATGATAAACAAATCCACTCTTCATATTTCTAACTTCACATACAAGAACGATACATGTGCAAAAATAGGATATACACATTTAGCAAACTAACTGTAAAATTGATGTTACATGAGATATTTTGTCTAAAGCATCTTTGAGTTATGCATGTTCATAAGTACATTTTCATAAAGCATGGGAAGGCATGACAATGTGTACTGGGGTTTGTACATTCTACTTTTCTGGTCCAAAGAGTGGGAGAATTCTCATCCTTTTTGAGGGAGATATAAAAGAAACCCAATAGCTTAGTGTCAGGGTGAAGTAGTGGTAACTTTCCTCAAAAACCGTATTTCCTGAACTAAACCCTGTTTTTAATTACATAGCTGGAAATAAAGAATAACTCCACTGAGCTTAGTCAAATAGTTTAAGATTTTGTGGGTAACTGGACCAAAGCTGCTTTTAGTGAATCTGTTCTCTCCTTCATGTACATACAGAATTTCCATTAATGTTAATTTGAGTCACTTGTGTGGGACAGCAAGATAATGTTCTCCCATGATTTCTTGTGACTCAGTAGTGCACTGTATGAGATGCTTTCCAAACTCTTCATCAGAGAATCTTTGAAGTGTTAGTTCCAAAATAATCTGCAGTATTAAATGGTGCTGTAACCCTTAGTCATCAGCTATACCTGTGTCAATTGTCGAGGTCCAGTGCAGAATACAATCAAACACAGCCAAAAATGAGAGAAAGCATAGGAATGCAAGGTTCAGAAGTACTGAAATGCAACAGGCAAAGCCTCTGATCTTACTGACCTGTTATTACAATGTTCAGCTTTACTTGTTACTGTTTAAACTCTACTGGTTTTTTCCTCCTCTATAGTACACTTGTATTGACACAATACAAACCTTCAGATTGCTGAACCATTACATTATGGCCTTCTATGTTGCCTGCCTGCCTGTATTATTTCTTATCACTCATTTGTGACCTTTATGTTCCAGAAGCAGGAAGTCTGAGGGGTAGTCGTGTTGTTCTGTATCTGCAAAAACAATGAGGAGTCCTGTGACACCTTAAAGACTAATAGAATATTTGGACAAAAGCATTTATTGGTAAAAACAATGTAGAAGCAGGAAATTTATTTAAAAAGTTTATTTAAGCCAAACTTTAAATCAAATGACTGATTTTCTTTAAAGTAAGTATTTGCTGCAAGAGAACAGTCACTAGAAAGTACAGAAGCATCACCTTCTTATATCTAAATGTGAATTCACATTATACTTTTTCTAAAATAGAAAACTATTCACAGGACACATTCCTGTGAATAGTTTTCAGAGTAAACATACTATGGGCTAACCCACTGTAAATAAGAGATGGCCTCAAATTCTCTTACCACATATAAATTTCCTTTAGTCTGCTTCATGCTTCCAGTCTAGACACACCCCTTCTGTACCAAATGACAGGAGGATAGCTAATGTGACACCCATTTTTTAAAAGGGTGCTAGAGGTGACCCTGGCAATTACAGGCTGGTAAATCTAACTTCAGTAATGGGGAAATTGGTTGAAACTATAGTAAATAACAGAATTGTCAGACACATAGATGAACATAATTTGTTAGGGAAAAGTCAACATGGTTTCTGTAAAAGGAAATCATGCCTCCACAATCTACTAGAATTTTTTGAGGAAGGTAAACAAGCATGTGGATAAGGGGGATTCAGTGTACTTAGATTTCCAGAAAGCCTTCAACAAACTCCTTCACCAAAGGCTCTTATGTAAAGTAAACTATCATGGGATAAGAGGGAAAGTCCTTTCATGGATTGATAACTGGTTAAAAGACAGTAAACAAAGTTATCACAATTGAGAGAGATAATTAGTGGCGACCCATAGCTGTCCGTACTGTGGCCAATCCTATTCAACATATTCACAAAACTGGGTGACTGTGCAAAAAAAGGTGTATAATTTTAATTTAGATAAATGCAAAGTAATGCATATTGGGAACCATAAACACAACTATATGTATCAAATTAGCTGTTACCATTCAAGAGAGATCTCTGAGTTATTGCAGATAATTCTCTGAAAACATCAATTCAATGTGAAATGGCAGTCAAAAAAGCAAACAGAATTTTGGAAATAATTGAGAAAGGGATAGAAAATGACAGAATATTTATTCCCTCTATATAAATCCATGGTATGCCCACATCAAAGAGATGACTAAGGTGTTATGCTTATAAGAAACACATGAGGTCTTTTTCACAGGTAAAAGGCAATATGCCACATTTATTGCAATAGAAAATCAGTATAGAAATCAGCATATTCATTCATTCACACACATACACATTCAAGTCCTGCAGCTGGTGTCATTGTTACCAGTCTTACTGCTGCTCATGCTAGCTTAGTGGCCAGTTAGGCTAGACACAAGGAATAAAACGGGTTCTGTGAGCCATGGTCAGATACTCTGAAGTTGTCTTCACAGGAGTAACAAAGCAAAGCTAAGTTGTGAGCAAGAGGCAGGCCCCAGCTCACAGTACTTTGCACAAACAGGGCTGAGAGTGCAAAACACTAATTGGTAATAGGCCCAGGTGCAGAACAATAATTGCTACTGGTCATAAGTGGAAAGCACATATCACAAGCTCATGAAAAAAGACCTTGGTACCCACTCCTCACAGATACAGTCTCATGTTCAGGAAAGGGTCTAAAATGACAGCATGAGGGATAGAAATGATCTAATTGTGACATAGTGGAGGTACCTTGCTGGTTGCTATGCTGGGCAGTGGGTTGTGAGTGACCTCCACTGGCTGCTGTCTGCAGCACGGCCCAGCAGGGCAGGGAATGAGTCATCATGCAAGGGGGCTTTGAACCTGTCTGACCAGTTATCTCCCAGGGAGCGGAACAATGGGAAGAAGGGGAGTGGAGTCCTGGCTGGGGGCAGGGCTGGCAGTGAGTTAGTTAGGTTTCTGGCTGGTATCATGGAGGAAGCAGCCTAGACAACGGGATGGGGTTTAGGGGCCCAGGCTCCCCCGTCTCAAGGGGGGCTGAGGCATCCTTGGCCTGCCCTGTAACCAGATTACATCTATGCTGTGCTGTATCCTGGAGAAGCAACGCGTCGTCACACTAATCAAACCATGAGGTACAGGGTGATGGGTGGTATCTAAGTGGCATCAGAGGGTGGCAACCTGATACATCAGAAGTGAGGTACAGTGAGGTGTGACTTGTTGTACCTGTATATAAAGTATTGTCTTGGGAGGACAGCCTTTGGATGACCTAGAGGGCAGTGGAAATTTCCCACTGACTGAGTCATTTCATTGTGGCAAGTACATATGCGCAGTGGTTCAGTAGAGTCTACTGACAACTATTACTGTACTTCGCTTTACAATAAACCTGGCCTGGCATCTTAGATCCTTATCTGGTTTGTAGTCTTTGGGGGCTCTCTTGGGGTCTGCTGTGGAGACTAAGTGCACAAGTCATCACGGCACACATGCAAGCAGCCTTCTGGTTATCATCAGCCAGAGATCTGTGAGGACACCTCAGCAGTAAATTCCGACCACCCTCCCTGAATAACTACCATCAGTTAACCACATTCATGAGTACACTTTAACATCTCTAAATTTTAATTAAAAAAAATCTTATTTACTTCTGCTTTTTCTCTATTCTTTGATATGCCACTTCCCTTCCCTTAAAGCTTCTATGGCCCCATCAGTAGCCCACAACTTTAACCACTGTAATGCATCCAGCTGAAATTCATTAGCACTGGATACCATACAACTTATCTTACCATCAGATCTCTTCCACTTGATACAGGCTGAACTCCATCTCCTGGGCTCTTATCAGTCATTTGATTGGTATGTCTCTGTGGCTACGTCTACATTGGCCCCTTTTCCGGAAGGGGCATGTTAATTTCAGCGATCGTAATAGGGAAATCCGCGGGGGATTTAAATATCCCCCGCGGCATTTAAATAA